CATTTGCACTCTAGACAAAATTCGCAGCTGAGGGCGACGTAGCCGACATGCGCGTGAACGCATCTAAAACGAAAATCCTGAGTTTTCTCGTTCTCTTGTTCGTTACGCTACGGAGATAGATGGAGAAGCAGTAGAGCAGGTGGAGAAGTTCGAGTACCTCGGAATTATATAATACCTGAGGAAGAGATCGACCGGCGGATTGGAGTAGTCAGTGGCGCTCGGCGTGAATTAGCGCAATCCGTTGTGACTGAAGCAGAGCTCAGTCTGGAAACTAAGCTCTCGGTGTTCAAGTCGATCTTAATCCCCTCGACCTACGGTCATGAGTCGTGGACGATGACCGAAAGGCTTCGAAACCTGATACAAGCTGCCGAAATGGGCTTTCTTAGACGAGTCGATGGCCTTACGCGTCCTGAATGCCGACATCCGCGAGAGCTTTAGCGTACAGCCGCTGCTTCTTCAGACTGAGAAGTCACAACTACAATGGTTTGGACACATATTGCGAATGCCTCCAGAAAGGGACGCGAAGCAACTATTTTATGCTCAGCTGACCGGCGGAAGCCCAGAAGACGGTTAAGATTAACCTGGTACAAATATATGAAAGGATTCTGCTCCAGAATTTGGCACAGGATCGGGAACTTTGAAAGCAATGTCTAATGCGTCTGCCTTCGCGACCCGAAAGGAGAGGCGGTCATAGAAGTGAAGAAACGCAGCACCGACAAAACGTGTAGGTTACCCTACAAGGAGTTCATAAGACTGTTGCCGATCCAGCATGAAATTCCTGTCACGCATACCGGAATGTGCTTTAATTTGCCTAAATACTAAAAGCAGAAGAGTTCTGTAAGTTCAGTTAAGCACATGAAAACGGTAAACTATCTGGAAAAATCCTTCGAAAATGCATTTTTTGGATAAACTGAACATTCTCCCTGAGGCCAAGTAGCGACTTTTAGTCAAAAATGAAGTCGTTCTAGCGTTCTCAAAACTCTTTCATTTGTAAGCGTAATTAGCACTTTTAGCTATTAAACAGGTGTAAAATTTACATTTCAAATTAAAGCAAGGTAGTCAATAATACTGAAATTTACTCAACACAAGGCGGTAGTCATTGTTCTGCACTTCTTCTTGTTTAGGTGGAGCCGGAAAACGCCAAAAACCTATAAAAAAGCCGGCTATAGTAACCAAGTAGGAAATCAACAAACTGACAAAACTACCACTAACGCGTAGAAGAAAATGCAAGCAAACTCGATTTATCAAATACAGCATAATATATCAAGTTCGTCGGAATGATATATCTATACGAATATTTCGACTTAGACTGCAATCAGTTAGATTGCTGCGACAACTAATCTCGCTGTTTGAGAGGAACGCAGCAGCGCAGAGGTTGTTTGGGCGACTTTGCCCATTAAAGACCTAAGTTTGAGCTGCAGCGAGGCATAAATTTTCTTACTAACTGCTACATTTCAGGAGCAACCAATATATTTCACCGTACTTCAATACTATCAGCCGAGGAATGAACGGCAAGTTCGATGATCTGTGAGCAGTAGAGACAGCATGATATTCTGGCGTAGTCGTGCCAGGGATTGTAAGACTTGCGACTGGAACAGAACAAAGAAAACGGAAACGTGACAAGAACTTTTCTTCTGTGGTAACTGAACGAAGGGTAGAGAAGAAGGGGAGATCAGTTTAGAAGCTGACCAAATGCATTAGAAGCAGATCTGCTCGCGATGAACAGTATGTCCTTTGTCGAAGTCGTTAACGCTTAAAGCATTTCGAGGAATCACCTCCTGCATGTCAGACTCATTATCTAGGGCAAGCGGAGCTGGAAAGCTCACTGCACCCAAGATGACGATGAAAAATACAACAACACATGAAAGAAGAGCATCATGAAATTTATATGACAGTCTACAATATTCTAACTTTAGTTATCCAAGGAACCACTGACTTACCTTTCCAAGTCAAACCGCAAGGAAGCGGTGGCACTGCGGTCCTTACTATGGTGGGAGCAGTGACCCAGTCGGATAGTAGGTTGCTTTGTCTGTTAGAGTGTAAGTTCAAACGAGTTATTCACATATAACGTGCCGATTAACTTGAGCAAGGAATTTTCTCAATTTGCTTTGGTGCAACCAGTCTAAAAAACGTAGCAGGTCCTCTACCTGCGAATAACAGGGACAACACGGTGCTTTGGGATGGTCATGCCAATGCATGCGAAATATACCGCCACGCTGTCTAATGCGGCTGGAATTCGCCTTGACATGTATGACAGCTTACTAAAAATCAGCAAAAGGTGCAAACTTAAATTTAAAAAATAAAAATTACTGGCGGCACATTCTTGCCTCTTAATGAGACTGTCACAGGGAACTACGTGATCACTTTATAGGCGACGAACATGCCGCACATGCGCATAGCAACTCTGCCTACTTACGACTGATTATTCGTCACAACCGACTTCAATATCTGGGGTTTTTAGGGGTCCCTTATCGGTAACTTTGGCGGATGCAGCAGATGGCATGAAGCTAGGCTCAATAAAACAGCCATTAGGGTACAAAGAGTATGAGAAGAGAAAAGAGTGTAGCTGTTTAAAGAAGCGCTGCCTGTTTTAAAGCATACTCTTAGAAAATACAATGTTGTTTCATCAAGACAGGCGGCGTGGCAATAAGGGAACAGCAAAAGATTGACACGGTAACCAGAAAACATGACTAGCGAATCGTGTTTCGAAAAGCACTGCAGTTATCTGGTAAGTAGGACACAGTCCACTACTCACCGTATGACTGGAGAACTATCATCACATTCATTAAATCACCAAAAAAGATGAGCTGAATATCTAAAGCAGCTCCAGAACAATAATCCGCCAAATTCATTCCTTTTGACCGGAAACTCTCAGCCAACACTAGAAGTCAATATTGACCAACCCATAAAGGAAAAATTACAAGGTAACTTGCCATATTTATAGGTGAAAGATGCCTGATGTGGATTAAAATAACAAGGAGATAAATTATGAAGAAACAGAAATGACAGCAAAGGTCGAGAAGCTTTTTCCTAAAATATGAACCTGAGAATATTTTTCCGGAGAAAGCGAACTATATGGTCGCTGCCTGCACTAAAAACGGTGCCCATAAGGCTGCTTTAACTACCGCGGTAGTGCGCATGTGCAACTGTTACGTTGGATTACCCTGAAACGATCGAGACAGGTAGTCAACAGGAAACATTGCCTACAAGGCAGTCTTCTGGAAGGGTACTCTTGTTCTAAAGAAATGCATCTCATAGAATTACAGCACAATGCCGGAGATTACATTTGCGTCAAATGCCACTTTCATCGACTCTAAAGACGATCTTAGTTGAATATATTTGGTGAAGACTTCTAAATATATGGAATATTTTAAACAACGTACACCTTTTCGAAGAGATGCGTGAGGGAAGAATCAGTGAAATTGAAGTCCAAAATCGATATGATATTGACTTATTAATAGCGGTTCGTCAGGGAGAAGTACGCTTACTTCTTCGTGAAATCTGTCATTTGAAACAAAGCTGCCCTGAGCATAGACAAAGGTTTCAATCTAGAAGGCAGACAGAGTTCAAAATATCTAGTTAGGTATCATGTTAACCCGAAGTAAGCAGATTATAATAAGTAGTACAAAAACGAACTTCGACACTTGGTGACCACAGTAATCAACAGTGCAAGGAAAACCGCTTTTTGATGCCCGGGTACCATTTTTAATGAGGAACGCATTGGTAGAGCAGAGAGCTAGTGCGAGGACATCCAATCAATTAAACCAGTTTAAACATTTCGGTTCCATAAAATCCAACATCGATGCCAGTCCAGCTATATCAGTAGAAATCTTCTTTAAGTGCTTTTGGTAGATTGTTCAATATACGCCCGAAAATAAGTCTGTATCTTGGGCTAACGAAAGCCTAAGACATCAACCCAGCAGGACCACGTTCTCATCAACCAAAATGGCACACCCTCGCTACCAGGAACTAGCGTTAGTCGTGGTGCATACATTAGCTCCAATCACAAAATGTTCATAGCCGGACTAGCTGTGGCATACTGAAGTCGCCTGGCTGAACCAACATCGTCAGCTTCATGATGTTGACAGGCCAAAATATGAGAAGTCGACGCAGTCAGCATACCAAAAGGAAGTAGAAAACAATTTTATT